CTGTCTTCTCCTCTGTCGGAAGTTGTGGGTTGCGCTGCATCACTTTGAATTCTTCCTCTGTAGGAAGCCCTACTTCCGTTGCTCAGCTTTCTCCTCCGCAGAAGCCCAGTCTATGCAGCCCTCAGGATTCACTGCTGGCTCAAGCCTCAAGAGTGTTAGGAGTCCTTCTCCAGCATAGAATCCACTCTGTGTTGGAACTCCAGCAGTTTCACCTGGGTTGCCTGGGGTAAAACTTTGTTCCTTCGGCTTCCTTCTCCACAGAAGACCCTACTACCCTAAACCTCAGCAACCTGTGATCGCATGCGTGTAGCACCGCTGTTCGGATACTGTATCTGGTCCAAACCAAGAGGCCTTTCTGGCTCGATCCTTCCCCAATAGCAATAGGTAGCTTAACCCAGCTAGGGCGATGCTACAGGGCCGAGGGAAGATACTCCACTGCCCTATAAATTCCCCTACCTGCGCGGCTCGCACAGCCCCTCTTACCCCAGCTGAGTTTCACCTAGAGATCTATTTTGGTTTTTATGGGGACATCTATTCTCAGGTCCCTAGTCCTATTCCTACCTTGCTTTACAGCTTAACCTTGCTTTACAGCTAACCTTGCTTTACAGCTATTCCCAAACCAGTTTAGTATTCCTTTTGACACCATCTCTTTATATACCACTAAAGTTAGCCTATCAGAGCCACCTAGTTCTGCCGTATATTCCTAGTACTCTGTGTGAATTGGTATATTTCTAGTTATTGTCTCTGGTTTAACACCTATCACTTTGTTCACTCTTTTTGTACATGAGCACACATTCTAGTATTGTTGTATTTTAGTACTAATAAATTATTTGTTTTTTTTGGCCAACATTGAGGTCCTAGTCTGGCAGCAACTTGCAGGTATCTGGCACCCACTTCTAGTATACTATTTATCCCAGTCCCTTTCTGTTACACTTCCCATGTTTTTAATACAGAATAGCACTTTCAAAAACACAAAGATAAAATTAAAAAGGTAATCATTAAATTAATAAAATAACCAGAATAAAATTGTCTCGAGTAATTCTGAACCTTTTGGATACTTTTTGAAATGTAATAGAGGCATTCGCATTGTGTACATCTGTTGGGCAAACTTTCTTCTGTTCAATACATGCTCACAAACTCTTGTGCTTAATGGTCTATTAGTAGAGCCTATGAGGTTCATATGGGCAAGTGAGCATGTATTTAACATTGTTAGAATTGCATGTAAAGTCCTCCTTGATTTTGTAAGTTCTGCCATTGCGATTATAAATTAATGTTTTTTACCTTTTTTTTTATTTTTATTTTTTGGCAGGCATTACAATTTCCACATTTAACAAAATTATTTTGTGGTAGTGTATGTTAATCTATTTGGTACTGCCCTGTACAATTTTTGGGATGGAGTGTAATATTTCTTTTAAAATAGGATCTCTTAACCAATGTTGGTGCTTGCAATATAATTTCTAATTTAATTTTTTAATTTTTTTGGTAGCCAGAAAATTGATACATAAAGGAGACCTGGTTATCAATTTATTTCACATCCATACTTTTTATATTAAATCTGTTTTTGGTATTTAGTTTTCCGACTTTAGATAAAAGTAGTATGTTCTATGCAATTCCTTTTAATTCTAGTTAATTGACTTTTGGGTACGTTCTTGAGCCAAGGGCATATTTTTGTGCAAGATTTACAATGATTTTATATTCTTATGATCAGATCTTGAATCTGATAAATCCCTGCTTTATCCCATCTTCCTAAGGTTGAGCATTATAAAAGGTAAGTGTGGTAATTTTGTTTAAATAAAATATGTAACTAAACATATTTTTATTTTTTATGGGTGACATTCTCTAAAGACCTCATAAGAATGCTAGAATTCATTTTTATATTTTAGTTTTGTTTGCCAGAAGATATTATAGATCATGGTTCCTTTTGATATCCTGTATTAATTCTACTACCTGGTTAATTGTAATACTTAACACAAGATGCGGCTAAGGTGCTGGTCCATGTTGCTGTCGTCTCTCTCCTTGACTACTGTAATCCGCTTCTCAGTGGTCTTACGAGCTCCCAACTTGCCCCATTAGAGGCTATAATGAATGCTGCAGCAAGGCTCATCTTCCTGTCAACCCACACCTCAACCCCCTGTCAGTCCCTGCATTGGCTTTCCGTAAGATATAGGGCTCAATATAAAATTCTGGTTCGTGCTTTCAAAGCTCTTCATAATGCTGCTCCCACCCATCTATCCTCCCTAATACACAAGTATGTCCTGTCTAGGCCTTTAAGCTCTGCTGAAGTGGTAGTCTATCCTCTGTTCGTATTCCCACCTCTGCTCGTATCCAAGACTTCTCTAGGGCTGCACTGTTCCTGTGGAACTCTCTTTTCCACTAGATGCTCACCCAGTCTCCAATGCTTCAAAAAATCATTAACACCCCTTTTCACAAAAGCATATCCATTAAACTGTTAATGGCTCCCAAAAAAACCCATACGAAGTCTTCAATTAATACTATTCTATCAATCTACTTCCCTTACCTTTTTTGTGTCACTTTACCCCACTCCCTCTAGCATGTAAACTCATTGAGCAGGGCCCTCAACCCCTCTGTTTCTGTGCATCAAACTTGCCTGGTTACAATTACATGTTTGTTAGTCCACCCATTGTAAAGCATTAGAGAATTGTTGGCGTTATATAAATATTATAATAACCCCATAGTATTTCCTAATATTTGAGAAGCCCTAGTCCTCATCCTTTGATTTTTTTTTTTTTTTTAAAGGCCGCTATCTATAATTTATTCTAGGACCTTTGCCTAACCATAGAAACTGGCAAAATACTGTGTATTAAGTTGAACCAGGCTGTTGGTATCTCCAACGGAACCAATCTAACAAAAATGTAACAATGGTTTTAAGGTATTCACCCTCCCCACCAAGAAACTTCTAAATGTTTCCATAAGTTGTTTAAAGGTAATACATTTAATTCTACAATATTAGAAACTTGAACAGTATTTTATTCCTAAACAAGTCATAAAGTTATCAATCTGTAGCTTAAAAACCTCTATTTCAGCGGAAATATTGGAGAATAAAGCTATCTTTAATTTCAGTTTAAAAATGAAAAACCAGTGTAGACCAGATCAAATCCCAGCAATGTTGCTGAAGCTCAGTGCGCCAGCAATTGCTAAACCTGTCACTACCCTTATCAATCCCTGGTGTCAGGATACATACCCAAACTTTGGAAGACCGTAAAAGTGGTGACAATACTTTGGTATCCATCGCCCGAAATCATTGCTCCCAGTATTGTCAAAAATCTTGGAAAAATGCGTCCACACGCAACTAAGTGAATATTATCAACGATCAAATTATCTGACCCCTGATCAATCAGATTTTTGTCCAAATCACTCAACTTAGACTGCATTCTTAAGTTTGCAATGACATCCTAATTGACATGGAACAAGGAGACTTAACCAGAGCTATTTTTCTTGATTTTGCCAAGGCCTTTGGAACAGTAGACCATGGCATATCATCCGCTAACCTGCTTTTGATCGTATGTTTTAGACCGATTGCAATATGTGGCCATTTCTGATAGCGCTTTCCTCCCTCTTCTCGTGTGGTGTTCCCCAAGGCTCCATACTCGGCCCCCGGCTATTCACATTATTTATAAATGATCTGCCTAACGTCTGCAAATCCTCAACTGTACACATGTATGCAGACGACGCTGTAATTTACGCTAGTAAACCCAAGCTACCGCAGCTTAAGGCTGAGCTCCGAAACCAATTCAGAGGTAGAAAAGTGAATAGCGGATAACAAACTCTTCCTAAAGATTGACAAAACTGTTACAATGGTCTTTGGAACTGTACCTAAACTATGTAAACTACAAAATTGACAACTGTGTCAGAACAAATTCAAATAGCACACTGGCAGCAATCTGCTCTTTTAAATATTTAGGTATGTTCCTAGACCCCAATCTATCCTTTGGCCTTCACACTGAAAACATCTCTTCAAAACTTTAACAAAAACTAGGTGCCCTTTACAGAAACAAATCCTGCCTAAGCCCTACAGTAAGGAAACCGTGCAACAAATGCTAATGCCGGTCATTGATTATGGGCATGTAGTGTATGCACCCGCACCACACACCCACCTTAATAAACTTAATACGTTGTATAATTAATTCTGCTGCTTTGTACTAGAAAGTAATTACTTTACCCACCACTGTGACATGTTAAAAGCACTAAACTGGCTGTCGCTGGAATCCCGATGCACTCTTCATCTTTCCAGCCTTGTGCATAAGAGCATTTCTGGGAAGCTCCCACCCTACCTGCGTAGAATGCTCTCTCCAGCTGTTCCCACCTCCTATATCCTCCTATCCAGTAAAGCACGATATTTAGCATAGCGCAATACAAAAATAGTTGCTCGATCCTCCTTTTCCTACAGAGCACCGCAATTATTGAATAACCTCAGGGACACAGTCAAATCTTCATTCAATTTAAAATCTTTTAAGAGATCTATGGCATTGTATACCTCAGCACAGAATGCACCTGTCATGGTTTAATACAAAACAGGTAATACATTCAATTTGTGTGTATATAGATAGTTTGTATATTGTATTTTTGTAATATTGTATCCTATTGTAACAAAGCAATGGTGCAGCATGTTAATGTAAGTGTATTTTCACATTTAGTGTTTTCAGAGTGTTTACGGCGCAATGATTTAATCTGTGTGGATTTTGAGTATGAATACAATTTTTCAAGACAAAGCTTTCATGCATTGTGTGATAGACCTGACCTTTTATACTGGAGTAGGGCACAAGCTATTTCCATTTGTGCATCCATTATATATTCCGCAGATGTCTTCACTTCCGAGATTGTTCTTGTCCGTAGGAACTTCTTGGCAAACTGTAAAATAACAATTCACATTTGTAACTGCAGTTCGTTTGTTATGACTGGCTTTTACTATGTTCGAAAACTTTTTACCATCAAGATTAAAAGTCCACAGCTACTGGAATCCTGCTGGTTGCTGTGATACATTATCCATGTGCTCTAATGTGCTCCATTGTGCGGCCTGTTCTTCTGGCTTGTACATCCTCAAAGATACTAGTAGAAATAATACATTACATTTTTGTTAAATCACTTTTTTAATTGAAGCTTGTGCCAAGTTAAAACTGTTTACAGAGGCACACTTACTTCCAGTTAGTGTTGTGTTGGACTTTTGAAACATAGCTGTTTTCATTTCCCATCGGATCCATCAACGCAACAACCTTCTTGGACATGATATTGGGAAATCACACAAGTTTATTAATGACATTGATGTTTTTAATATACCAGGTTGACCAAAAGTACACATACAGTGGAATCAACGAACTTCACAATTGAAGAAAGTGTCATTTTAATTTCAGGCATTTAAATATCTGTGTGGTATTTGGAAAGAATATTGGAGGGCAGATATAAAAAGTGGATTCTGCATCAGTTTCGTTGATTCAACGGTATACCCACTTTTTGGCAAGCCTGTATAAAGCAAATGAGCACTGTAGTGTCATTGGGTTGTAGTTAAATATATATTATATCTATATAATAGTGCATGACAACTTAAGTAAAGAAAGGGAACTTAAATTAGTTCAATAATAAAATCCAGTGAGCTCCAACATTCACAGGGCATAACCAGAGATCTTCGACTGGAAACTTCATCTGAAGAAAAGGTAGCCAAATTGGTAATTAATGCATTATAAATATGTATATTTAATATGTATAACTAATTGTAACAAGTCCCTGACCTTTCCAAGATTTTCTATTTAACCGTAAGTAACACAGATGACAGGACAGCATAAACCGTCGAACAGGTTCCCATTTCAATAGATTAAGTTAAAATGCAAAATAACACAGCAACAAACATAACACAAGAATAAACGTAATTCACACTTGCCTGATGCTTCACAATTAAATGATGAAGGTATGCATCAATCCAATCAATTAATAAAAATACATATATTTTGTTATATTTTAGGTTTAGATTATTAATGTATATTCTTACCTCATCAACCAGCCACTTATTGCCATGCAGCGTACGGAACACAGCATTTTAACTAAAAAAAAAAAAATTGAACTCCGGGTATGTAATGTACATTCGAGAGCCAAAGCTAATACAGGTTGAGTATGCCTTATCTTTGGGTTTTTTTCAATACTTAATTTTATGTCCAAATAAAGAAACATTCAAATATAACATCCAATCTACCTATCTTCTGCTTTTCCTGCAATTTTCCAATGTTTTCCTTCGTTGTTTTCTTCTTATTTACAAAGGTATGGAAAACAAAAGAACAAACACTGTCACAATGTACAAACAAATGTGACAAGCTGTGTAGTCTGGAAAATAGGAATAGCCCAGTAATGGTGGAATATTCAATGTATATACACAAAAGTGGAATGTCAAAGCTATCTCTATTTAGTCATAATAGAGGTAGAATAGTAGTTAGGATTGAAAGGGTAATAGAGGTGAACAATTAAACAATTCGAAAATGCTCCATGATAAACATACATATATGAGAATAATTAGGTATATGGTTTCATAGTATCTAATATGTGAGCTTTGTGTCTGGCTCTATAGATATCAAGAAATATCTATTATAATATGCTCAAAAAATATGTAATAGGTCCCTCTTTGGTAATACATAATCCTGTTAGTGCTTCTCATGTGTCGTAATTAGTTTAGAGAGTCTGATTAATAGGGAAAGGAGATACTGATATACTGCCAGAAAGAGTGGCAGTGTAAGTTAATTATAGATCTCATACATACAAGTATCCACAGATAAATCAGAATCTGGTCTCTTCCAAATATAATTCCAATAAAACCAAATAGCCACAGATATAGGTAGCTCAAAAGCTAATTACTAGGGAACCACATTTATAGATTCCCTTGTAAGTTTATTTGGAATAGAAGTGACCAAGTTATGTGCTACCTTGCAACATTTCAAAGGGTTCGTTCTGTCAAGAGATTAGTAGTTGTTACAGGGTAGAGAGCAAAGATATGAAAGTATGTTACTATAAAAACTAGCAAAAGTATTAAATTACTAAGCCTCTCTCCCTTTCAATCTATCTAGATAGAGAAGGAGCAAAAAGAAACCGTTACAATTAAATAAAATAAAAAAAAGTGAGGCAAACTAATGTGCCCATTTAAAATAGAAACAGAAAATAGAAAATAGAAACTGAGTAAAGCCTGACGCATGGTTTTTAGTGCCATGTGTAGCGCACCTTCGTCATTTACAAAGGTAATACAAGTGTTCGAAAGCTGTGAAGAAAATATTTGAAATTTATTTTTTATTTTTTTTATATGCATGCACACCAAAATTTGATAGTAAGATGATAATGTATGATAAAGTACCTTTTGTTGTACAGTCATACAGCTATTAATGGAAAACAGAACTGATCATTTTCAAGATTACAATGTCTATGAATAATGAAATATATTTTGATTAGTTACATGTGCACACTATCTTTAAATACGGTTATGGCAGAATTGATCAGATAATAGTTAACAACGTATGTGCCACTTATGTTGAATAAAGCAAGCAGAACGAGGCAAGATCTGTATATAATCCATTATTACATATACTATATGCAAATATTTAACACTAGCTGAGACAAAAAAACAGCAACAACTCGGCTGTTCAACAGGAACCTCAGTGGGGAAAGCTCCCTCCCGTACTTCAAAAGAAACAGTGAAAACTTGGTCGTGGTTTGGACCTTCGATCTTATGGAAAATGTTGCGTCCAAATATACGTCCCAGTTATTTTGCCCTTTACCAGTTTAGTGAGAGCTCTACAATGAATAAAATAAACAAGAAGCATATTTACAACGCTCTTGTAAGTAATGCGGAATTTGTAGTTCTCAGCATACAATAGAAAAGTGTACAGCAAAAACATGAGGAGATGCCGATTTGCGCAGTGCTGCGTTATGCTTCTGTAGGAAGTGAGTTGTTAACTGGAGTTGAGCGGACACCTGGATGTTCGGGTTCGGCCGAACTTCGGCAAAAAGTTCAAGTTCAGGACTCTGACCTGAGCTTGAACCCAAACCCCACTGAAGTCAATGGGGACCTGAACTTTTGGGCACTAAAATGGCTCAAAAAAAAGTCCTGGAAAGGTCTAGAGGGCTGCAAAACAAAGTATAAAAGGGGGTAAGAGTAGGACAAGTGCCCTGCACGCAAATGTGAATAGGGAAATCACTTAAAATAATACTTAAAAATAAAAATCTTGAACTAGGAGGTTGAGGAGGCCGTGGCAGTGTGGAGGAGGTAGCCAACACTGTTTTATTTGTTTTTGGTTTTTTTAATTGGGGTAGCCCCCAAAATATTGGGACATATACTCAAGTGCACTTATTCTTTGGTTTTATAACAATGGCAGGTATAAATGTCTATTCTGCACAAGGTACAGACAAGTCTGGTGGGATCCATGCCTGGTTCATTTTAATAAACATGAGCTTGTCCACGTTGGCTGTGGACAGGCGGCTGCGCTTGTCTGTGGTAATGCCCCCTGCCGTGCTAAACACACGTTCAGACAATACACTGGCTCTAGGGCAGGCCAGCACCTCCAAGGCATAAAGGGCAAGCTCAGGCCATGTGCCCAATTTAGAGACCCAGAAGTTGAATGGAGCAAACCCATCAGTCAGTACGTGTAGGCGTGTGCACACGTACTGTTCCACCATGTTGCTGAAATGCTGCCTCCTGCTAGGACGTTTCATATCAGATGGTGGTGCTGGTTGTGGCGTGCTGACAAAGCTTTTCCACATTTCGGCCATGCTAACCCTGCCTTCTGAAGTGCTGGCGGTGCCCCAGCTATGTTGGTGACCTCTTCCTCCTCCTTCTGCCTTCGCCTTGTGCTTCCATTGAGCCCCCGGTGTCAGTTGGGAATGCTCTCAGCAGCGCGTCTACCAGTGTGCGCTAGTAGTCGCGCATCTTCCGATCACGTTCCAGTGAGGGAATTAAGGTCGGCACATTTTCCTTGTAACGGGGATCCAGGAGGGTGGGTACCCAGTAATCATCACAAGTTAGAATGTTTGCAACTCGGCAGTCGGTGCGCAGGCACTGCAGCATGTAGTTGCTCATGTGTGCCAGGGGCAAGGACAAGCTGTTCTCTGTGGGAGGTGTAGCTTCTGTGTCCTCCATATCCCCCCAGCCACGCTCCAGTGATGCCCACGAGCTGCGTTGGGTGCCAACCTGCTGTGAACACGGTTCCTCTTCCAGAACTGTGCCCTGGCTGGACAATTGTGTACCTGGCCTATGTTGGTGCTTGAACCCACCCTCCAAACCACTTGTGAATGACTGGCCTGATAACCGTGGAAGTTACCCCTGTGGCAAACCTAGCCACTTGGACTAAAACAGAGACAATATGGTTTTAAGGGTTGCCTGTATATTTATTATGATTGTATATGTGCCTGGTTGTAATCTGCTGGATTCTGTATGTTGTATTGACTGTGTTAGCTATCTGCCGAAAGCAGATAGCCATGTTCTATTCCGTTTCATGAACAACGCCTTTGTGGGCTATTCGTGAACCGAATGAACACTCTAGTAATAGCCCACACACTAAGACGTGTGGCGCTTGTTAACTGATTGCAACAATGCTGCAATTGGCAATTAGAGACTCTTCAAGGTGGCCGTCGTTCGACTACCGACCACGCGGCAGTCGGCCATCTTGGATCCTTTGTCTCTCCAGCGGTGTTCTGTCGTCGAGCACGTGGTACTGAAAATGGCTACTCGACGGCGCGAACACAGCTGGGGTTCCAGGCCGTTCGGGAGCTCCGGGCTTTTCGGTATTTTACTTCCCGTATAGCAATTGGTCTTTTAAGCGTGTTACAATTAATGTTTTTCGTGCGGCGTTCGGCTGTTTTAGCTGGGATCTCAGCTATCTGCCGAACGTCCAATTGTATAAATTCACCGAATACAATGCCAGTTATGTATTTTAATGTAAACTGCCGGTTCTGCTGCACGGAGGGATAATCCACTTAACGGTATATTCCATTGGGAGTATCCCCCTCGTGCAGCAGTGTCTGATGGGAGAAATGCCCAGAATGTTAAGTACCCCATGTAGTCCCCTACTGTATTACCCCTACAATGTCAGTGGGGAAACCCCTTGCATGGGGACTTGCATAAATACTGGAGCTGCAAATAAAGACCTCAGTTGACTCCCAGAACTGTATTTCGTCCGGTTACTGGGGGATTTGGGATATTGCCTTGCTTCTCAGCGCTTGACTGTGGATTACTGTATGTACCAGCGGAATTCGTGGGATTTAATATTGCCGATCCGCTACAACCCCTCTTCTATCACCCGATGCGTTGTTTCAAGGAGACATAGAATCGGGATAGTAAGGCTGAGAACGGTGTCATCGGCACTGGCCATGTTGGTGGAGTACTCGAAACAGTGCAAAATGTCACACAGGTCTCGCATGGAGGCCCACTCATTGGTGGTGAAGTGGTGTTCCGCAGGGGACCGGGTGGGAGACAATGTGAAGGAACCAATCTAATATCGCCTGTGCTTGTTCTGGCCTCACCGTAGAGCGGCATTCGGGCCTACCATTAACGCTGAAGGTTCTATTGCCTACTCTCACCTGAGAAAGGGGTTTCAGTTGTGCGTGTAGCTGGCACAGATCGACCACGTCCTCTCCCTGCAACAGGAGCTCAACCAGCAGCACCACGACCAGGGCCACGTCCCTTATTTGACGCTCTCCTCATTCTATGCGTTCACCCACCAAACTAACAGATGGTTTATGTCAGGCGACAATGTAACCGCAAATAGTCAAAAATTTATTTTAATTTTTTTGTTATTGGTCTTCAAGTAATGCGCCGCAGATGTACTATTTAGCATCAAAGAAATGTGAATTCGTCTAACTGCAATGTCATAGCAGTATTTGACGGTTGTATTTGACTCGCAGATATGAAGTGCAGGCCCCAAATGTACTATTTAGCACCTAAAAAATGAGAATTTTTAAAACTGCGATGTAACCACAGTATTTGACGGTTCTATTTGACTCGCAGCTATGAAGTGCACCGCAGGCCGCAAATGTACTATTTAGCACAAGAAAGTTTGATTTTTATTTATTTTAAATCAACAATGTAACAGTAGTATTTAAGGGTTTTTAGACTGCACGAAATGCAGTACGCAAATGTACTATTTAGCATCCAAAAAATAGTATTTAAAAATGCCTAGATGCTGCCCTCTGAGCTACCAGAACAGGATTAAAGTAATGTGCTTGGCACACATGCAGTTGCAAGTGCACTGCACTCTGTGGAATTGGACTCAGGGCAGGGTACAAAAATTATTTACTATTAGTTGACTGAATAAATAATGCAGATAAAATAGAAATGACAACGATTTGAATCTGAAAAAATATACTAATGACAATAAAGGTAGACTGGGTGTTGGAAACTAATCCTACATAGCTATAAGATCTAAATGCGGAATGCATATGCTTTAACAATTGGAGTGATTTCTGATGGAGTTAAAAACATTCAATAAATAGATGCGCAACACCTATAAATCTATATAAGTAATTTTAAAATCCTAGTCTAGCATAGCGCTAGTAGAATGTCTGTGATCGTAGGGTGACTAAGGTGCCGCTATTATGTCCCAAAGTAGAATGCCGTCTTACTAGGTATAGACTCTTATAGAGATAAGAGTTAATGAATAAAGTGGAAAATGTATTCATACTTACTGTAATTTTCTTTTCCTGGCTATTCATGGTAGCATATAAATCATGGGCTAGCTCTACTCCTTACAACCGATAGGAAAAACACTCAAACCTTTAAAGGAGTACCCCTTCCTAGGATCCCCAGTCAGTACCAAGCTCTACAGAAATGTATAAACACAGATTAAAAGGGTGGGGAGTATATGCTGCCATGAATAGAAAATTATGGTAAGTATGAATACATTTTCCACTTTCCTGGCCAATCATGGCAGCATATACATCATGGGAATACCCAAGCTAACAAAAAGGAGGGACCAACAAATAGCTGCAAACAAATGTATTCAAATAAACAAATACATTAACTGTGACCAGCACTGTGAACTGAATTGAGGAGTGAGTATCATTAGCGGATCGAACGTCCAACTGATAATGCCTGATGAAGGTGTTAATGAAGGTGTTAACAGAAGACCATGTGCCAGCTCTGCAAATCCTGTCTGGAGAGACCTTTGCCACAGAAGCCCACAAGGCAGATACTGCTCGGGTAGAATTAGCCTTGATATCCACAGGTAGAGGCGTATCCTGGCAACGATAAGCCTTAGAAATAGTCTTTACTATTCACTGTCAGAGTAGAAGTAGAAGCTGCTTCACCTTTTCTACGGCCCCCAAGGTGTAAAAAACAGTCTGGAAGATTTGCGGAAAGAGCTTGACCTCTCAATGTAGATGGAGAGTGCTCTTACAACATCCAAGTTACATCCAAGTTATGCCACCTCTCTTCCTCAGGAGAGTTAGGGCAAGGATACAAGAAGGGTAAGACCACATCCTCATTCAAATGAAACTTCGAGACCACCTTGGGAAGGAAATCTAGGACAGGAGGAAGAATCACTGTATCCTGATGAAAGACAGTGAATGGATAGCAAAAGAACCTTTTGGGACAATATCTTAGAAATACTTCCCAACATTTCAAAAGGTGCCGCAGTTAAGGCACGGAACATCAAAGGCAAATCCCAGGCTGGCATAAAAGCCTTGAGTGGAGGTAGGATCTTCATAACAGCCTTCATGAATCTCCTAACCAAAGGCTGTAAAGCCCACCTGGTGCCGGTTAGGGCAGAGAGAGCCGAAACATGGACCCTAAGGGTGTTCTAGCTAAACCCCTTATCCACCTGCTTGTAGGAAGCTAAGCACTGCAGCCAAGGATGGAGGAATGATAATATCATTATCACAGGACCAAGTGACAAAGGCCTGCCAGATCCTGTAATAGGTAGATGAAGTCGATACCTTACGGGACTGTAAAATGGTTTTAATAACCGAATCAGAGAGATTCCTGCTCAATCTCCAGGCCCTCAAATGTAGAGCATGAGACTCTGGATGCCTCAAAGGACCTTGGATCAGGAGGTCTGGCCGGACTGGAAGTTCCCACCCAACTCATCCATAGGGATCCAAGGTCGACGTGGCCAAAATGGGAGAATGGCAATAGCCTCTACCTTGTCCCTCTGTATCTTCTTCAACACAGTATAGATTAGAGGTACCGAAGGGAAGACATGAATTCTGACTCAGGGCTTTCGGGTCGAAGAACCTGGAGAAGAACACTTCCACTTGTGCGTTCTGGGAGGTGGCCATCAGGTCTATATCGGGTAAACACCATCTCAAGCTTAGGCTTCGAAAAACCTCTGGGGACAGCCGCCATTCGAACCCTGACATTGAGACTCGGCTCAGGAAATCTGCCACTGTATTCCGGACTCCCGGTAGGTGAATTGCTGATATGCCCTGGGAGTGCACAATAGCCCACCTTCATGAGTCTGTGTGTTCCACACTGGTGGTTCAAGTAGGTGACAGCTGCCATGTTGTCCGAACATCTTTGAATCCAGCGTCCTATTAGGGTTGTCTGGAAATGTAGAAGGGCTCTGAATATGGCCCGCAACGCCAAGGTGTTGCTCGGAAGGGCTGACTCTGCAGTCAATAGACCCTGAGCGAACCTGTCTTGACAATAGGCTCCCCATCCGTGGTAAGTATTACCCATTGTGAATCTGACAGGGGAAAACCTCTGGACACATTCCTTCTCCTTAACCACCAGGAAAGATGGAATCTTACCATCAATGAAATCTTGATGGGTTGATTCCAATTCAACATCCTGTTGCTGAACTGGATCAGAAATTCTATTTGCAGGATTCTGAGCTGCCATTGGGCCCATCTCACTAGACTGATCGTAGAGGCCAGAATGCCCAAGAGTCTCATATGTCCTTGCTGTAGCCAGGTTGGACAGAAAGAATTGCTTGTGGAAGGTCCAAAGCCTTTCTATCCTCTCCTCGGAAAGAGGTATCTTGTCCACTTTTGTATTGAACAAGGCTCCCAGGAAAACTCTCTTTTGAGCCGGAATTAGACTGCTCTTCTCTGGATTGATTAGCCTGCCGAACTGACGTAGTTCTGAGAGAACCAGGTCTCTTGATCTCTGGCTTCCTGGGGGTCTGAGGCGACTAATAGGTCGTCTAAATAATGGAACAGGCCAATGCCCCGCATCCGTCTCCGGGCAATGATCACCACTATTATTGCGTCTTGGTAAAGGTTTAGTTATTTGAGCAGTTGTGTCTGGCTCGTAGGTATTCGCCATAGGGGATGCCAGATTTCAGTTTCACTGGATGACTGGTCCAGTTGAGTAAACTATTTGTTGCTGTGGTTTTACGGTACAATCCAGTTTCAATTTGGCCATAAACTAGAATTTTAATATTCAAATCCAGGAAAACCAAATGTTCAGTGTCAATTACGTGAGTAAGTTCTAGGCCAATGTTGTTTACATTCAGTGCTTTAACTAGCTCCTCAAACATAGCCATAGATTCCAACCAGAAAATCAGAATATCATCGATATATCTGTACCAACTGTGAATGAACATCTTGTAGTTGTCTTTGGTTTCCTCCAGTATTTTCTTCCCACCATCCCAAATGAAGATTTGCATAGCTAGGGGCACTGGCCGTTCCCATTGCTGTGCCCCTAAGCTGAAGATAACGTTGGCCGTTGAACACAAACAAATTGTGTTTTCATATTCCAAAAGATTGATAATGAAATTAGTTTGTGCTGTGGTGAATTTGGTGGACTTGAGCAGGAAGTATTTTGTTGCAATTAGACCTTTCTCATGAGGGATGTTGTTGTAAAGTGCAACATCATCTAAACTGCCCAGTAAACGGTATTGTGGTATTACTAGGTTTTCTAACAGAATTAGTGTTTGTTTTGTATCTTGTAACTATGACTTAAGACCAGCCACTAGTGGATGTAGTAATTTTTCTAAAAATTGGCAGCTTCTCTCGGTGTTAGAACCATTTATGGAGACTATAGGTCTTCATGGCGGGTTGTTAATATTTTTGAGGATCTTTGGGAGGCAGTAGAAAGTAGTAATGGTAGGGGTCAAATGATGTAGTATGAATTTGTATTCTTCCCTAGTTAAAATGCCATCTTCTACAGCTGGTTCCAAGATAGATTTTAATTCTGTAAGATACGGAGTAGTGGAGTCTTTTGGTAACCTGCTGTAAGCCACTGGATCTCAAGTGTTCCATGCAAATCTCAATATATTTTTCTCTGTCTAACAAAACTATAT